CGTCAATTTGGTCCCTGCACTCAACCCTTTATTATTTACGGCAGTTTGTGCTTTTTTACACCGCTTGCCTTCATTTTTCTCTGAAGTCTCCCAGTGTCATTTTTCTTCGCCATGTTTGAATCTCAAAAAGCTGAATCGTGGCTTATGCTATTGAAGTATGACTAAGTCCTATGATAAGTCCTCTAGTATTGCGGGCTATGGCGGTTCTCGGCCGTAGATATTTGATTTTCATTTCTTTTCATTATTTTTTGAAGTGCATTTTGTTTTGATTTTTCCTTATTTTACATTTGTTTTTTATTGCTTCTATTTATCAACATTTAAATTTCGCTATGGCGGAGATCGGCCACCATAGACTGGACTAAATTAGTAAAACGACTAAATTAGTAAAACACGGACTGGACTAAATTAGTAAAACACGGACTGGACTAAATTAGTAAATACGGACTGGACTAAATTAGTAAAACACGGACTGGACTAATTAGTTAAATACGGACTGGAAATTTGTAGAACGCGGACTGGAATCGATAAAATTTCTTTAATTTTATAATTATTAACACAACAAGAGATTTTTAAAAGTCGTATATACTTTCCCAAGTTTTGGAAAGGAAGCGTAAGAGCCTTGAACATTATTCACGATGTAAAGAAACGAGGAGCGACGAGCATTGCTTCAAACATTCGCGGCGTAAATCGAGCAATTCTTTCAGAATCTACGCAATTTATCAACTTATGTTATGAATTACGAGCATTCAATTCAACACAAATATATTGGAAGTTTATTCCATTAATAGAGCTAAAGGTTAGAAGAAACGACGGTGTGTTGTTTATGTACTGATAGATCTCTTACACGAATGTATATTATGTCGATAGCAAGTCGATACCTGGTATTCTGCATATACAGTACATAAATGATATTATACAGAACGGACATTTTGTGAAGTAATCAAATCATTTTGGCGGTATACAGTATTGATTATAAGTATATTGTTTTGTATCGATTTACGCGTCGAAGTATCCACATCATAGACATCATAGTTAATATCCACATCATAGACATAATCATACTTCGACGCGTAAATCGATAAAAAACAATATACTTATAATCAATACTGTATACCGGCAAAATGATTTGATTACTGCACAATATGTCCGTTCTGTATAATATCATTTATGTACTGTATATGCAGAATACCAGGTATCGACTTGCTATCGACATAATATACATTCGTGTAAGAGATCTATCAGTACATAAACAACACACCGTCGTTTCTTCCTAACCTCTTAGCTCTATTAATGGAATAAACCTTCCAAATTATATTTGTGTTGAATTGAATGCTCGTAATTCATAACATAAGATGATAAATTGTGTAGATTCTGAAAGAATTGCTCGATTTTTACGCCCGGAATGTTTCCAGTCCGCGTTTTACTAATTTAGTCCAGTCCGCGTTTTACTATTTAGTCCAGTCCGTGTTTTACTAATTTAGTCCAGTCCGTGTTTTACTAATTTAGTCCAGTCCGCGTTTTACTAATTTAGTCCAGTCCGTGTTTTACTAATTTAGTCCAGTCCGTGTTTTACAAGTCCAGTCCAGTCCGCGTTTTACCATATGCCGAGTCAGACCCGTAAGAAATGCAATGTTGTGTTGCCACCCGATTAGCACCTCATTACACGTATATAAGCAGGTTTCATTATCTCTCATTGCCCGTATGTAAGTGCTAACGAAAGATCTGCTGTACCTGCTGGCGCGCTGCCTTCAGAGCAGGCTGGAGTCGACTGACCTTCGTTCCGCTAAAAACCGCGAAACTATAAATTTGCGCCAGTGTTCCGTGTTCGCCAATCGCCATATTGCTTTGATAGTGTTGCACTGTAGTCGCGGCTGTCGCGCACGTTTACTGATTTGCATTTCGCCGAATATTAAAATAAAATAAGTAACTGAATTATTCATAATGGAAGTAGAAAGATTGTCAATAACGGATGCACAAAAACAAGTTCTTGTGGATTTTTATGAGAGAGGAATGGTTTCAACCAAGAAAGGTTTGGCTGAATTACATGTTGAATGTGCTAGTGCTTGTGGCTTGTCTGAAACCCAAGTAAAAGTAAGTTTGTATAAATGATACAAATATATTTATATGAACTCCAGAAGATTTTATGTTTATAGTGTAAGACTAATCAACCTCTAATAGAAACATTTTTTTTCAAACTTTACCTTGAACAGGGGCCCTTTAATTGTTACATATACCTGTATTTAAAACCTGACTCACCCACACTCACTGAGTAAGAGATCACAATCACCTCATAACCAATTTCTATGGAATCTATAATGGTATTTTTGCTCCAGTAGATGTAATAATTTTGAATATTTCACCCAAATTAAATCTTGCTATTGACTAAGGAAGGACTCATTGATCAGCATAACATGATCACTGGGTCACACTTGGTGAGAGTGAGTGTGAGTCTTTGAGAATACAGGCAACATTGTTGGTGTTTGATTCATTGTGCAATTTCTACAATTTACTACACAATTTTGCACCCAACAAATTCTGGAAAGAATAGTAATGAATTAATGGTTAAGATATTGTTCCGAGACATCAACCCATAGCGTAGCATTGTGCCCTGATGCTGCCTACTTTAATTGGTATTTTACTTTGTCTAACACAAGACAATTTTATTCATCAAGGGGTGACTGGAAATTTCATTTGCATTTGTACTGCAGTTGAAGTATTCACATGTATAGCCTTACACTTTAACATTTCTCACACCAAAACCAACCCCAACCCACACTGTAAACCCCAACCTTAACATTGGTTGGATATCAAAATGTTAAAACATTGCAAGAAAAAAAATTGAAAAATATATGAAGAAACTAACCTATAATCTAGAGTACTTGGTGCACAATAGCCAGGAAAAATTTAAATGTTAATTAAGTTGAGTGCTGGAAGTTCAATTAACCAACAATTAATTGTTACTATTATACATTATAGTAGTGAAAGCAATTTGATTGGCTAATAGTTGACAGATAAATCGCGCAATCACGCAAAATTCAGTTCTGCTAGCAGATAACTGAGTTATCTGCAAGTGAACCTGCGGTGGTTAACAAGCGGTATTCATTTGAATGCATTTATATATTAATAATTGATGAATTTTTGGATGTTGCTATTAAATAAGGTTTTTCATTTGTTAATGCTTATGTTTACTATTCTTCAAATGTATAATAAAACCTTTAAATTTTATTGAATTCGGTTTTTGTGATATGCAGAGGCTCGGCTCATAATGCTTACCGAGACCTTGATAACTCTGCATATCACACTGTCTGTGATTATAAACTGTATTTTATTACAAATGGCAATGAAAACTGCTTATTTAACAATGGACTGCATTGTCCGGCTCGATTTCAACTGTTTTTTCTATGCAATCAAGCTAGTTTTGGAAGGGTTTATTGTATGTGTTGTACAGTACCTTAATCTAATACCAACCTGACATTTTTGTGCTTCGTTTTTCATGGGATAATCACTTTAGTTTACCTTATTTTTTAGAACTGGATAAGTAATTATAAAGCTAGCAAACGATCCTCTGGTGAACCTAGGCAAAATGCTAGTAAATCAGTTCTAATTCGGAAAAGGAGTGGCTATAATGTTTTTGCCAAGGAACAACTTGCTGAAGGTAAATTAAATCTGAAGTATCATTGTGATGTACCATTAATACATGTAAAAAACAACTGATAAGATGAGAGAGGATAACATATGGGCTTCAATCGGTATGATTATATTGATGATATACAGGATGTATCAAAAAAATTCGAATCCAACTTTGACAAGCTGCTGTGTATGAAATACTAAAGTAAACGATATAATTTTTATATGGCAACAAAGATTAGCTTATTTAGTTTACGATTATACTTTTTATATCGACACGACCAAAACTGGCCGAGTTATCGTCTTTTAAAAATTGTTGCTCGAAATCAAATTTTTCCGCCGATGGGAATTCGAAATGAGACCTCCAGACAAAAGAAAATGCAAATTTAATTAATGGAGGCATTGTGTTCTTCAAACTTCTATCGTTGAACATTGAGTAGCAGAATTTTTGCGATAAATTTGCGTTTTAGTTTTCAGTAATGATTAGATTTTAAAGCCCTTTGGGACTAATTTTCAATAAAACAAACGTCCAATTCCCATCGGCGGAATATTGTGATTTTTATGAACTTTTTTTGTCGAACCAGTACTTCTTCATTTTTCAACTAAATTACACGTACAACGTGTCATTTGAAAGAGAAATAAATGAACTTAAAATGTGTAAAAATCAACCAATTTGTCAAATATATTTTGCATTATTACACGCAAAATTTCGATTCGAATTTTTTTGATACACCCTGTATATTAAAAAACCACAGTATCCTACAATTAGATTTCACATGCACGTTACTCAATTAGGCAAGTCAGGTTTTATGTTAATAAAATTTCAAATGTGGGTTGCCAGTGTAGGTACATAGATTCTTTGCCGGATAAATTTTCGGTTGATATATAGGATAACTACCTGAAAAATATAACGATCAATCGCGTTATACTGCATCGTAATTAATACTTTACTAATAATTCCCGTTATATTTTTTAGGTTTTTAACATTAAGTGGGTTAGAAAAAACCCCACCAGTTTATCTTGTTAATACATTAAGCTGTCATGACGTCAAATGCATGCACAGGGACAGCATTTTGACCACTTACTTTTACTTTTGATCTGTACAATATTTGCTGAAAAGTAGCCATCCGTTTTTGCAAGATCCAGCTGATACAGACATAGTATCATTCACTGTAGTATGTATATGCTATTGTGTACTATTATGTACTGCCATTGTGTACTGTATATAACATTTTGTACTAGTAAATTTAGGAGACTCCAAGAGCAAGAAACAAAAGTTCTCTGAACTTGGTGCGAAGTGGAAGGAATTGACAGATGGTCAAAAAGAGGAATATAGAGGGAAAGTCGGAGTCTGAATGATTCCGATGTTGCGGAAGGATTCACTGATAGGCAGAGAAGTAAAAGAATTGTTAACAATTTAATGAAGGAGGTAATGTTATTATTAAGTATAAGTGTATTTACTCTGTATCTCACAGTTTTTTACTACAAATAGTTATAGTGTATTAGTGCACATACAGTGCTCATTCAGTATGGAATAGTCGTTCTAAACCAAAAACGATTTACCAAATACTAACGAATTTTTTACGCGACTTGGTGGAGTAAAAATTTCTCTGTATGAAATCGCTGTGTATGAGTGCTACCTGAAAATCTCGAAACGTCGAAGACTCTCTTGTTTTTCTCAGGTAGTTTACTTATGCAGACACAGCGAATTCTATGATTTCTACAAGCTACCTACACGTTCGAAGTTAATATGTACCGTGTGTTATATGAATGTGTGTGAATTCACATGACATGTGATTACGTGAAACCACATGTGAATGAAAACACATGCATGTGATTCGAATTTTGGGCACTACAATGAGTCCTGAATTGAGCCTAATCAGTATTTATCAACACTCAGGTTGCAGAACTTGATAATATAGATGGAGTCGAATGCCTGGTTATCTGTGTGGAAGGTGGCAATATATATCATGCCTCAACAAAATTGGGCCAAAAGTTTCTTGAAGAATATCCGGATACCTGTACAAAGTTTGGAAATGTCATTCAAAATGGTAAAGTGTCGGCACCGTTCACTTCGTGGAATGCGACTTTTAATCTTTGTGCTCCATAACATGAGTCACCTGTTTGACATGAACATTTATACCCAATTTATAATTTTTGAAAACTTATTATACATGCCTATTTAAAGTTAGTCCGAGGGCATAAAATGGGCGAAGGTGTTTAGAGATGCAATCATCTGAATGAGTGAATATTCAGATACAGTAAAACAGGGGGGAATTTCGTTTTAGGCCGATCAGCGCATTCTAATGTCAGGTTATCTTTATTTGGCTTTGTATACACTAGAGAAATAGTAAATGACAGAGATTTCGTTACATATAATGTGATACTTTTAAAATTATTTTTTCAGTCTCCCTTAATAACAAGATAGATGTGAGCGACAAAATGATTAGAACAATATTTAACAAAAAGTATAGTAAGTACATTCTATATTTGACGTTTTCCTCTAATATTTCAAAAATGCAGTATTTATATATGAATTTATATTATACATAAAAATGCTGTTATATTCACTACTGTTTCTTTGTGAAATTAGATATGGTTCACCTTTATAAAGGAAGCTTTATTACAATTGCATAGACCGCTTTCATGACTGAGAGGAATTTAAATATTCTTTTATGAACATCTTAATAAGCCTTGCTGGCGAAGTTTCTATGACTGAAAAGGAATAGAGTTCTTCAACAAAAACGACGCCAACCGGTCCTTAAAAATGCACATAAAAAGAATATTTAATTTCGTCTCTGGAATTACTGATGAATGTGGCCTTTTATAAAGATGCCTAAAAATAAGTAAATCTCTCTACTTTTTATGTGTGTTATACTATGTTGTACAAGTGCTATACACTAGTGTATATGAGAATTCCTCATAGAGACATTACGAAAAAATAGAATTCACTTAATTCTTCATCGTCTTTGTGTTAACACGTATCAGCGATACGAGCACGGGTTCAACTCCCGTGGGATGATACTATTTATCTGTGAATTCTATCTGACGCTACAAAAAAGTCAGAATACAAAATTAATATAATATCGTTATTTTTAAGGTACATTAGTTGGCAAGGCTTCACCCTTGCCGTATTCAGCAGCAGAATCTCTTGGACTAAAGTTTAATGGTTTGCCGTCCGAACATAGACGAATTGGGTTGTTATCCAAAACAGCCAAACCATTACGGGGCACAACAAAGCGAAGATTGTGGGAGAGAAGAAACTCCTTTTCTTTTTTTTGCAATCACACATGGAAATAATCAATACTGCAAGTAACAATGCATCATCTTCTTCAACTTCATCAAATGTCAGTTCGTCAACTAGTACTGATCCACTTTTGCCTCCATCTACGTTACCTCCAATGACTGCATCTGATCACCAAGTCCCACTTTCTACTAGCCTAAGACCGAGTACATCAGGGGAAACAATTAGTACGCCTTCACAATCCCAGCCTCAAGACCATTCTTTCCTCGCTCCCATTAACCAACCTGACATGCAGCTCCCTAGTCAGTCTTTGTCAAAGAATGACGGCCAAGAACTAATTGTTTCTCAAATTATTGAGCAAACAATTTTTTTAAATGCTTCAAATGGGCTTTCACTACAGCTTAAGGAAGGTTAGCTAAAATTTTATTCCCCTTCGTGAAGTCCGAAACTGATGCGATTTAGAATTTTTTAATGTTCATCAATGTTCTGCCTAGTTATCAAAAGTTTTTATTCGCTTGATTGGTTGCCCCACCAAGGCAGTGACATTTATCCTATATAATCATTTTTAAATTTCATATTTTGGTGCACGAATTTGATCATTGCAACGTCTTATGGGTACCCAACTGCGCCAGTAAAAATGGGTGCTTGTGAAAGCAGTATAATGTTATGTATATGTCTGAATTGAATGTCTGAATTGATCGCCGGTCGGTCCATTACGGGAAAGTGCCGGCCTTTACGGGAAATTTCACGGGAAGTGACGCTTGCCATATAATAATACGCGATAATCACCTAAGTGCTGTTGAGTTTATTTGTTTCTTGCTTCACGGAAAGAGCAGAATTAGCTATAAGCACGATAAACAAAACCTGTTTATTTAGCCGATTCTTCTTTTTTGTGAAGCAATAAACAAATAAACTTAATGGCACTTAGCAACATTACCCATTGCATGTTCCAAACAGAATGCGGTAAATGTCTGCGTTTTCTTTCATCCATGTAATTAATAAAACCAAGATCTATATTTCGCCGTCGTGGATTCAGGCTATGTTATTATTTCATTTACTGTTCATTTTCAAATTCAAACATAATTCCAGCGTATCTATCTTAACAAACTGAACCATTACATGCTCGTGGACATATCGGTGTTTTCGTAGTGAGTAATATAAATAATGGAGTTTAAAGTTACATTTTAGCCTGCTTTCTATGTATTCGTGAGTGTCGTGGACATGAGTGCCGATGAAACTCTCCACAAATATTTTTAATAGTAAGGTAAATTTTTATACGCAGGTACAGTTTTTGGGCTTATGGACGAGCGAAACATGATCAAAGGAACGGGAAAGGTTATGGCAAAGCATCAGTTACATGGAAGACCAATTGCGCCTGGTTGCCTTGTAGTTGAAGTGGTCAGTGTGAAAGATAATTGCGCCACAAAACCGCTGTACCGGGTGCATTTGATGATGACGAGGCGGTGCATATTGGAGGGTTTTACCTGTGGCCAATATCAAAGCTCTCTTTTCTTGGTAAAACCGGAATTCAAGTTGGAATCAACAAGTGACTTTAGTAGATAACCATTGTTATATAAATCAAATACATTGATGCTCTTTTGGCCTACATGCCTCGCTCTCATTATATGGAGTCTTCGCTGATGAGAGAGAGGCTTCCAACCAAAAAATATTCGTAATTATATGTATACGATGATAAGTTTATAAACAACAAACATTTGAGAAATATATTATATATAGCATTGTTGTATTAATGTAAGTACTGTAAGTAATTATTTATTGTTACATTAAGATTTTTAATATATATATCCATTTACCAAAAAAAACAAAAAACTAAGTACATTTTGTAAATTACTTTCAGTTCATCGAAAAATTTCACTGACATTCATTAAATCCGTACATGCGTATGCATTTTGGGGTACAGTTTCGCATTATAAGTTGTTTATATAAGGTTTACACAGGGACAAGCAACAAGTTCATCCCAATTTTAAAAACGGAATTTCAACAAGATATTTTGCATATTTTTTTAGATCATCGAGATACATGTAATTCTAAAATTTCACTGACATTCATTAAATCCGTACATGCGTATGCATTTTGGGGTACAGTTTCGCATTATAAGGTGTTTATATAAGGTTTACACAGGACAAGCAACAAGTTCATCCCAATTTTAAAAAAGGAATTTCAACAAGATATTTTGCATATTGTTTTAGATCATCGAGATACATGTAATTCTAAAATTTCACTGACATTCATTAAATCCGTACATGCGTATGCATTTTGGGGTACAGTTTCGCATTATAAGGTGTTTATATAAGGTTTACACAGGACAAGCAACAAGTTCATCCCAATTTTAAAAAAGGAATTTCAACAAGATATTCTGCATATTGTTTTAGATCATCGAGATACATGTAATTCTAAAATTTCACTGACATTCATAAATCCGTACATGCGTATGCATTTTGGGGTACAGTTTCGCATTATAAGGTGTTTATATAAGGTTTACACAGGACAAGCAACAAGTTCATCCCAATTTTAAAAAAGGAATTTCAACAAGATATTCTGCATATTGTTTTAGATCATCGAGATACATGCAATTCTAAAATTTGACGGACATTCATTAAATCCGTACATGTGTATGCATTTTGGGGTACATTTCGCATTATAAGGTGTTTATATAAGGTTTACACAGGACAAGCAACAAGTTCATCCCAATTTTAAAAAAGGAATTTCAACAAGATATTTTGCATATTGTTTTAGATCATCGAGATACATGTAATTCTAAAATTTCACTGACATTCATTAAATCCGTACATGCATATGCATTTTGGGGTACAGTTTCGCATTATAAGGTGTTTATATAAGGTTTACACAGGACAAGCAACAATTTCATCCCAATTTTAAAAACGGAATTTCAACAAGATATTCTGCATATTGTTTTAGATCATCGAGATACATGTAATTCTAAAATTTCACTGACATTCATTAAATCCGTACATGCGTATGCATTTTGGGGTACAGTTTCGCATTATAAGGTGTTTATATAATGTTTACACAGGACAAGCAACAATTTCATCCCAATTTTAAAAACGGAATTTCAACAAGATATTCTGCATATTGTTTTAGATCATCGAGATACATGTAATTCTAAAATTTTACTGGCATTCATTAAATCCGTACATGCGTATGCATTTTGGGGTACAGTTTCGCATTATAAGGTGTTTATATAATGTTTACACAGGACAAGCAACAATTTCATCCCAATTTTAAAAACGGAATTTCAACAAAATATTCTGCATATTGTTTTAGATCATCGAGATACATGTAATTCTAAAATTTCACTGACATTCATTAAATCCGTACATGCGTATGCATTTTGGGGTACAGTTTCGCATTATAAGGTGTTTATATAATGTTTACACAGGACAAGCAACAATTTCATCCCAATTTTAAAAACGGAATTTCAACAAGATATTTTGCATATTGTTTTAGATCATCGAGATACATGTAATTCTAAAATTTGACGGACATTCATTAAATCCGTGCACGCGTATGCATTTTGGGGTACAGTTTCGCATTATAAGGTGTTTATATAAGGTTTACACAGGACAAGCAACAAGTTCATCCCAATTTTAAAAACGGAATTTCAACAAGATATTTTGCATATTGTTTTAGATCATCGAGATACATGTAATTCTAAAATTTCACTGACATTCATTAAATCCGTACATGCATATGCATTTTGGGGTACAGTTTCGCATTATAAGGTGTTTATTAAGGTTTACACAGGACAAGCAACAATTTCATCCCAATTTTAAAAACGGAATTTCAACAAGATATTCTGCATATTGTTTTAGATCATCGAGATACATGTAATTCTAAAATTTCACTGACATTCATTAAATCCGTACATGCGTATGCATTTTGGGGTACAGTTTCGCATTATAAGGTGTTTATATAATGTTTACACAGGACAAGCAACAATTTCATCCCAATTTTAAAAACGGAATTTCAACAAGATATTTTGCATATTGTTTTAGATCATCGAGATACATGTAATTCTAAAATTTGACGGACATTCATTAAATCCGTGCACGCGTATGCATTTTGGGGTACAGTTTCGCATTATAAGGTGTTTATATAAGGTTTACACAGGACAAGCAACAAGTTCATCCCAATTTTAAAAACGGAATTTCAACAAGATATTTTGCATATTGTTTTAGATCATCGAGATACATGTAATTCTAAAATGTCTCGTTTTCGTGTGGCATTTATACTCAAGTCTCGCGCGAGAGCTTGAAACTTGGCAACTTGCAGGAAACACCTGCCGGATGTTAAAAAACTCCACTAAAAATAGTCAATCCCCTGCCCCATCGGAATTATTTTTGGGCCTCCAGGAAAAAATTCCGTTATTATCAAGAGAAAATAATAAGATAAATTAAATTTTATCATGTTTTTAACGGAATTATTCGAGAATATTTTTTACAAGTTTTGTCTCTGATCGATTATTATATATATTATAAATTTGTAAAATCTACGTGAAGAATTATTATAGTTTTTTTGTCGTCTAAAATACCATATAATAAACAACTTACAGACCTCACTCTCATTCAGTAAGTACCCAATCCTTAGGGCCGCCCAATCACTAGGGAACTTAAGCATTGACTACGAGTACGACTACGACTACGAGATTCGTCATTCCCACGCGTTGTTTGCTTACGCTATCAGCCGAAACTCGTAGTCGTTGGGCTTTCGAGTACGAAATTTACAAACTCGTATTTAAAATCAGAATCAGAATCAGATTTATTTTTACATGTAAACAAAAACGTAAAGAAAAAAGCTCGGCGACTACGAGTTTTGGCTGATGGCGTCAGCAAACAACGCGCGAGGATGACGAATCACGTAGTCATAGTCGTAGTCACTGCTAAAGCTCCCTACTGTCGTGTTAACAACATTCGAAATTTGGAATTAGAAATTTCCATAAAAAATCATAACTATACCGCATAGAGGGGCTTTCTGGAGAAAATTGTTGAATATTTTCATTACAAATAAATAAAGC